CCCCTTAAGTCGCAGCACTACAAAGCCCGGTTGTATTTGAATGTTGCCGCTTTCGCAATAACTATTGTAATTTTTTCGATACTAAGTAGAATACCTGAAAGGATATTTTAGCAATTGTAATATCCCGTATAGTTAGTTTCGTTTTGGCATTGCAATATAACGCCCCATCACTATGACATCAGGAGGTGTTTGATTTTTTATTGGTGTGCTCGGGCAAGTACCGCCAGTACCGCGGGTAAGAGATGTTGAAGGACGTAAAATTATGTCAGTTTCTTCAAGTTTACCGAAGTTTCATGATTCTTTTCAATACAAAGAGTGTAAGAAATTCCTGGAGCACCACGATGCGTTAGGAGTCAGGACTAACAAGTAACTTTGTCCGGTGGCAACTAAGGTGAGCATAATATTTTCCTTTGTTCGTCAAACAGGTGAAGCGAGTTCTGTAAATTTGTTAAACTAGTCTGTCGCCGAACTGTGCTTACTTACCTTTACCTGTTTTCCTTTAAAGCTGTCTCTAACTTTATCAAACCTTTAACACGCTCAGTGGTGGAATAGAGGCTTGCTGTGTGCCGAAACTGCCATACGAAACTTGAGTAAAATGGGTTTGAGAAAGAACTTGTTTCAGTAGTGCACACATTGCGTTGTAAAACATTTTTTATTGTACCAAATTCAGAAATTCCTGATGGTTAATATTTTCAATTTAGCGTTTAAGCCTTCAATACAATTCTCTTTTTTTTTCTAATATATCCAGAACACAAGGTTAATTGTCCTGTTGTGAAAGGTACCGAGCAGTTTTCGCACATGTTCTTAAAGTGTTTACATAATTGTTATCTCAAACTGCAGAACTGTAAGCTGAACCTCAACTTCCTCTGAAGCAATAAAGCTAAATTAAATATCTGCAGCTTAGATGCTTTCTACGTTAGGCATTGCATGCATGTTAGGCTTGCTAACCAGATTCTTTGGTTATGCCACTTGTACTGTTCATGCTCTTTCCGGGACCATGATTTCTAATGCCGAGTGGTCATAATGAATAGTGCATGGTAATGTGCCTGGAATGCCTATTTGACTGGTGTCTCTGGCATTCTTTATCGAAAGCGGCCCCGAAGTGGTTACAAAATATGTCGTAGGGGCTGGCATGTCGTGCGGTCGAGTGTCGCAAATCTGGTGGTTTGTCCTATCCGTTTCAGCAAATAACACGAAACGCAAGTGTCGCTTTTGTCGCAGCGTCACACCTTCTGGCCGCTAATGCTTCTGTGACTGTCAAGCTGATGGTGACCTACACCAAAAAAGGGGACTGCTCTCAACAGCTCCACTGCTGCGTCAAGGCCAAGATCGTGGCAGAGTACAGCATGCCACAACTGTGACGTCATCGAACGGAGATCGAGGAACCATAAATGAAGACACGACCAGCACACCAGTCGGGGGCCTGTTCCTATAAAGGACTATTGGTTTATTGAAAAGTTTAATGGACCAATACAGCAATATTCTTTTATAGGACCAATACACCAATAGGCCTAAACCGGGCGAATACACCAACAGGATTCTGATGTACAGATAGGTCACACCTGTTGGTTAGGATACGATTCTGTTGGCCTACAGGCTTACTGGACCATATTCTTATACAAGCAGGATCCTCTATTGGAATTTTTGCTAGGGTGATAATTTATTTGGCGCTGAGAAAAGTAGTGTAATGTGAAACCAGTTGACCACATTCATCAAATTATGTGACGTCTTGTGTGTGTAAGGTGGGACCACGGGTCTGCCCTCTCTCCTGATAGCCGTGCCCCACTATCACATGTCGCTGTTTCCTGCCTTTTGGTGGGGTCTTCAATACTTTTACGAGAAAGCAATAGGTAGGATCAGCTTCTTCCATTTTTTTCAGCTGTGAATGAAATATATTCTTCATTCGGGAATGACATGATTTTTCCGGAGTGGCCCTCGAGCTGGAGGAGAATATCCCGCTCTCCACAAATTTAGAGTGTGCCGAGTTGTACAGCAGCATTTTTTTTCCTGGCGTGTGATTGATACTCCAACGTGCATGTTTATTTTCAACATATATGCCCAAATCCAAGAACTGTAGCTTGCCTCAGGCCATTGTTTATGGGTGAAATGTAAGTGTGAGCGGCATGCACAGCTCGTAACTGATTTAATTGGCCGTGATGTCATTTGTTCATTCATTACAAGGGAGCTTTGAACATTGTACTTTATTAGAACAAATTTGTGCCGAGCACAGCAGACAAAGAGCTGGCAGCAGGAAGCTTGACTAGATTAATTTTCGCAAAGTGGGACACTTGCGCGGATTATCCATTGAAAAATCTAAAAACCATTACATATTCATTTTGTTCAAATGTTTCACTTACATGTGCGTCAGGATAGGCAAGAAAAGTATTAGCAAACCGTTGTCACTTTCGAAGCTCTACCCAAAGAGCGTTTCTGTACTATTCGTGTCTCTCGCAGGGAAGAGAGAGGAAACTACAACTACAAATAAGATAATTGAACTATACTACAAGACATGGAGGGAATTGGGTAGTACCTAGACCTCGTTTAAACTACAGAAAGGAATGCCTGCTATACACTTCCGTCATTATTAGACGCTTATCAGCTTATGCATTTTGATTTATTCGCCTGTAAGTAGAGTGAACTCTGTGCACTGTCTGTAACCATGCGAGTATGATTTTTGTTTTTTATGACTGTATACCTTTGCGTTTTCGTTGTCATTCTGCTTTTTATGCACGTTCATTCTTCCCACTGTAGTGCTGCTTAGTTGCCATCAGACAGGGACTGTGGGCTCGTCAAGCTGCTAAGCGCAGCTTTTTTCCACAGCCCCTCCATCTGTATTTTTACAAGGTGGAAATAAACACATTTGATATGTTATTAAAGACGACCTCTTCGTTTTACTTAATGCCTTGTTTGGCAGCTGTAAACAATTTCTGCTAAACACAATAGGACAAAATCATACCAGTCGTCAACTCAGTCACTTATTTCCAGGTTCTGCCCTGTAAAAGTTTGAACATCTACTCAGAGTTCCGAACAACAAAAACGAAGGTGGGTGTCGGAAGAAAACATTTCCCCTCTCCCCCGCCAAGAATCCCTCTCCCAAATAAAATTCCCACTAAGAAAATTGTTTGTCTTTTGACTGTAAAATAAACTGTAATTACCTTTCCTTCACGCTTGTACCTTTCTTGTACCTCTTTTCTTGTTTTGTTTTGTTGAGGCTGATGACCTGAGGGCATTTCCTTCCAGTCATAATCTCCTGTACGTCAGCGGTGAAACTTAGACGACACCGGTTGGCCCGCTGCTCTTGAACGTCGTCCGGGGACTAGGCCGTGTAGGCGCTTGGTCGTTAAGTTGCAGATCGTACTGTTACTTTATACAAAAGGAACAACGTGCGTTTTACCACCGTTAAGAACGCCAGTACTGAGTTGCAATGGCATGTTCCAATGGCAGATATACGATACAATTTTGTTAATTCACACCTAGCTATTTTTGAACTTTTGCGCTCGTGAAATTTCCCATGATCAAACCACGCTTAATAAAAGTACGCATGTTTGTGAAAAAAACACGTTATTTTGCTAGGACATCGAAACGCCATCGCTAATTTAAATTACACGCTGGAATACGCGACTGCATTCGGGCACCTCAAGATGGCCCAAGCTCCAGCCCGACTGAACGAGTTCCGCCGTATATCACCTACTGCTTAAAGCACTGCATTCTTGCGCTTCACTCACTATAGCTTCAACTCCCATTTCCTCTTGGTTCTACGGTTGTCCATTGAGCACGAGAGTCCTAGTTATGTCAGGGAAGTTGACGTTGACGTTCTCCGATATCACCATCGTGCGTGAAGTCGACTCTGGGTAATTTTTTACGTGCTTTCTCAAGACAACCGCTCGATTAACATTGTTAAATGTTCTGCATGTCCTGCCCCATCCGTACCCGGATCATACCGCCATATTTAAATTACCAGTGTGGCGTACTGGGCTATTCACTGGCGGCCAGAACCGTGTACGCAACTGCAGCTCGCGCTTGCGCTAGCAGACGGCGAAATTCCACAGTTGTTTTGCAGCATGCATTTTTAAACATCAAGATTGCCGGTGTTAGCATTCTATTAATGTTCTGAGCACGCGTCCTGCGCGTGCGCACGTTCAGAGCATGCGCACTACACGTCACCCTCAAATATGGCCTCCAGTGAATTAATATATGCCCCATATAGTAAAATATACCGGAAGTACATTGCCCTGCACTTTCCTGAACTGTGCTACATTTTACTGCCCTAAAAGAACGTGTTTTAAATTTAGGAGCACAGGCTATCTTGTTGTTGCCGCCTTCGCTGCACTGCAGGTGAAAGCTTTCTGGGATCCGAAAAAAAGAGGAGGAAACAGCATATATATGTCCAAAAGTTTGTGCCTAAAAAATCTTCACGTAACAAACACTGAAAAATTGGGGAAATATTGAGCCCGAGATAACAAATAGCTTCAGAGTAAGCAGAAAAAAAATTACGGGTCTTTTTATCTAAAACAAGATGTCAGTTTTGAGCGCTCCAAAACCAACCCGGCACATAATGTGACCTTTTTTTCTTAGTCTTTAATTGATTGAAATTTTTTTAGCGACTCAGTGAATTTAAAATCAACGTGAATTAAAGTCCCTGTTTTAGGTCATTTTGCCATAACAACACCCTACTGTCTCCTTTTTATACTTAGAACTAGTGGCGCTTATTTTATCTCGTGAACGACAAACTAGCTATTATCTCGGCTTTCGTTTAAAGTGCGCGGTTATCTCTTTTCCTGTCCATATATCAGACTTGCTTTGACTGATAGCTGAACGTATTGCTATGTTATCATGGCGGTAGGGTACAACGAAGCAGCAGCCCGCTTTATCTGCGGGCGACTGCCATCGGTAGGGCCTTTGTGACCGCCTTCTCTGTATTTAAAATACTCACTATATACTTCTCCGCCGTTTCAATCGAGAGTTGCATTTATTTCACAATCTCATAACTTATCCTTGAAATGGTTTTTATCCGTACCGCGCGGAGAACCGACTGCGGACAGCTGGCTAAGATTATGGTAAGCTCAAGGTTTTGATGACTATATGTTGGTATAACACGCACGCTGGTAATCCAATCGCTGTCAACGTTGTATGTCGGAGTTCAAATGTAGGAACAACAGTCGACTCAAAAGTTAAATGCAGGTAAATTTTAGTGGGATGTAATGTTGTACGCGCTCTTGTAATTTCTAATGACCTGTTTACCTACTCGTTTTTTAATCAGACACTAGAACAAATTAACGTCATTATGTTTTTGATACTGCTATTAGTTCGGGAGTACACAGTCTAAGGGCTTGTACATTTAAGGTTTCGAAATGACGTAAAATGGTAAATATTCATAATAAGAAATTGATTGACATTATACGTATCTTTCTAATGACAATAGCTTGATCACATTAAATAGGAAACAGAACCACCGTTCTTATCACTTATGTTTTTTTTTTGTTTTTGTTTTTCCTTTTTTTTAGAAAACGTGGCCGGAAAATCAGGAGACGGATATCGATATTCTCACTTTACGTAAGTCTCTGCTCCATTTTCTTATTTTTTCTTTTCAATATTGATGCTGCTTTGGGCCCCGAGATTGTGAGATTTTGGCAGAATTAGCTTAAAAAAATGCAGGAATATGCAAAGATATACTATACTGTAGGATGCAAGGACTAATTATGTATTTCATGCGCTTCGGATGCTTATACCATGCCTTCTATGGGCCATGTAACGTTTATGTTTCGCTGTCGTCCGTGTAACGTAATTTCGCTACACTCGATAGTTGCACTTTTCGTATGATATCTTGCCCGCAGACATGTTTGGTGTTATTAAATAAAAACTGAAATATAAATCACAAACCGCAAACAATTCAGCGCAAGCACATTTTGTGTATACGTACTTTGTCCGAGTGGTGAAAATAAATCAAGCTTCTCTTCAGCAGCGCTAGGCTGATGAACGTCAACTCAGTCATGACGGTAAATTGAGTGAGAGGCACAATTTATACGACACCCGTGAAAGTGCGAATCAAACTCTATTGTGTGAAGTTTTCGGTGAAGCATCATAATATTACCAATGTGCATGAAACACCAATACGTTCAATTAAGTTTCTCCTCATTTCTGCTTACAGAAACACCGCAGGAAATTCCGAACCTCGCAAAAGGTGTTGTGCGAGTTCCAGGGTATACACGTATTTGTGGAGATGTCGCGTAGTCTGAGTTGGAGAGACCATCTACGAAATGCCAAGATTGAGTTTATGAAACGAACTTTCTAAAGACGACGCATGACGTCCGTTTAATCTTACACGATATTACTGATCAACGCGATTTAATAGGCAGGTTAGAAACGCATGCTCTTGAAAATCATGCTGACTAGATTAATACTTACCGTGCATGTGACAGCACAGTTTATGACAGCGTAGATTTTTGTTTTAAAATTCGTTCATACAAGAAGATCAACACAGAGTGCATGTATATTTCGCAATGAACAATCGTGTGATCGATTTGTCTATATGTTACAGGAAAAGGCCCCACCACGGCCATGAAAGATGACGGCATTCGCACATTTTCGAAACGTGATTGTGTCGCGTTCATGCTCGCTAAACACATGTGCTATGAAATATTTTGTTGGTGATTTATAACTCATGCGAAATGTGTAAAAATGCGAAAATCTGCTGCGAAAAACTAACTTAGTGAGTGCCGCAAAACAATGCCGGCTCTGCATGTTTCGAGGTCCCAATCTTTTCCCGCGGACGCTTGATTTGACAGACACGTTCGTCATTGTCGGGGTTTCGTCGTTCAACCAGCTACGAGAACCCCCTTCAAATTTTGTTTTCATTATCCGAAAAAGATCGGACAGATAAAATGAAGATGCTGAATCGTACGCATTCAACATAAATCTGTGTGGTGTTTCTGGTCATTGATACAGCTCGATGTTTGACAGACATTCATAGGTCAACATGTCTCGACCCCGAAAATCAGCAATGTAGCTAGGGCCGTGCGGCAGCTGTACTCTGTTTCACCTTATGATTGGCCGTAGCGGACGCCACAAGCCAGCGCAACTGATCCCGCGCTGACAGTCTATAACGTGATTTTCCGGTTTTGTGCAGCCAGATGTCTTGTGGCGCTTTCACCACGCCGGATTTACTGGGACGGGCTCTATGCACCGTTCACCCTTAAAGGGGCGGTGCAACGATTTTATGAATAAAAATTTGCATCCCGTAAATTTTACGTAACGAGCCTTTGTCCCGGAGGATAGAAAAATACCTCCTTCGTTAAAATGTCGCGATTCTGCTGCATAATCGCAAAGCAAAAGCGGAGCTTTTTCCCCCCCCTGCAGCCCCAAGTGGCAGCCGAAGGAACTACGGCGAAAAGATTACGTGACCTCGCTCGGCTCTAAGCTGCAGCCTAACGCCCGTAATGTCCGCAGAGAGAGGGAGAGGAAGCGTCCTCTGAGATAGCACACGGGAACCTACACGGCACTCCAAATGACGTCACTAGGAGGGGGACCACGTGTGACCCTGAAGACTGGGAGTGAGTTGAGGGGTGCCCGAAATGCCAATATTTATCTTTTTTTTTTTACGCAACAACTAGAACACGCAGGCGAAATTCGTTTTCTGTTCTTTACTTCAGAAGTGTCAGAGGGCAACTTCCAGAAATCTTTGACGGAGGTCCGCAAATCGTTGCACCCCCCCCTTTAAGCTGAGAGTGCAATCGATGCCAGAAGCATGAGAGCCCGAGATCTCCGCTTTGAAACGTTCGTCCGCTAAACGAGCGCTTGCGCTAAGAGGAACATCTCAAGGTCAGGAGAACAAGCTAACTCGCGCTTGTAGCTTTAGCGGCAAACGGAAAAGAGCATCGGCTGCGATCCATCCTTAGGAGAAACGGAGTATAGCTTGGGGTCTTTTGTGTGCACGAAGCAGTAGTGTTTACACGAACGCACGCAGCTTCTGGTTCTGCGTACAGCGTGGTGCAGTTAGTAGTCAAGCTGCACTGGCCTGCAACATACTGAAATACTGAGGAAATGCACCCGACCCTCTGAAGGACTGACAAACATTACGCCGACCAAATAATCCATACAAGCCTTCCTGCCAGTTGACATTATGCTGCGCATACACGCCTCGTAAACAAACCAGCAACTGACTGTTCGTCTAAATTCAAGAAACGCCTGCGTCCCCGCGACCGTACAGCGCGTTCAACTCTCGGGAAATTCTTCCGGTAGGGACGCATACTGCACAAACAATGCATAACGCGCAACGCCGTGACACAGCCAGCCATTCAGGATGTCAAAACCGACCGCCCCCGAAGCCACTGTATCCTCTTCTATCATCTCCCTTTTTTTTTTTTTTTTTGCTGTGTTGTTTTTATTTGCGGGAGCACACACCGTTGCACTACAGTGACCGTCACGCCCCCTCCTTGCCGCCTGAAAGTCGTCATTTATGGTTGCTTTCTTCTTTATTTCTTTTCCACCTCTTCTTGTTCCAACATTCTTCGTAGCCTTTCCTCCCTTTCCCGGTAATCGGACAGGGAGTCGAGACGTACATCGAGCCACAAGGTCCAATAATGGATATCTTGACGCGTTGGACCTCCTGACTCATCGAATAGGAGTCAAGAGATCCAATGTGGGTCAAGAGGTCTAACGCGTAAGGAGATCCAACGTGTCAAAATATTCATGGCGAGTGAAAAGATTCGACGCATGAAGAGATCCAACGAGTCATGAGGTCCTATAATGGGTCTTTTGAAGCTTTGGATCTGTTGACTCGTTGAACCTCTTGACTGGGAATTGGTATATAAAGGTTTCTTGAGGAATGAACCAGTCAGATGAGTTGGATACCTCCCCTTCTGTGTCTGTTCTTTCGACTAAAAGTTCTTTATTTACTTCCCCACAGTCGCAAGTGTTAAACAACATGATTAGCCACCAGATCGCCTGCGTACTCACGGTTTTTTTTCACAATATGCATTCTTACATTATACCACGTATTGCTACACAAAGAAAAGAACTAGCACAAAGGAAACTCGAGAAGTAAATATATAAAACATTCTGCATGCGCACGCATTGTACTTTAAATTGTGACGTACTTATCAAAGATATTGACGTAAGAGAATATAACGATTCATAATTAACACCGGAGTCGAACGGGCGTGAATCGATCAAACACAGTATAATGGTAACCCAGGAGTGTGGAGAAATAGGAACAGAAAACACACAGTTCAAAGTTTTTCTTCATAATTTCAAGAAGTGTGTGTTCCCGTCTTATCGTCAGTTCGTATATGATTTCATTTATGTGCTACCTAAACCAGCTCACTTATTGTGAAGATTGTCTTCAAAGGTCTATCGAGCATATGGAGCTCTTGCATGCAAGTTAATATCTCGGCAACATCACGCGATTAGACGACTACATTACAAAAGTTGACATACATTGTTCAATTCTCGTAGCTCAAATAAATATTGAAAGAGAATCACTTTTACGTGCATTAAGCTTGGTAGGAACAAATGTACCATATGGTCCCTCAAGAACGACGATGGCGAACTACAGAAGCAAAACGTCAGACATCTCCTCGAAAAGCCCGATTTTGCAGTGGCGACGTCGAACTTTCGACGCGTAAATTCTATCGTACAAGCGACATCGCAATTCCTAAATTGAAAGTAAAAACCAAAGATGTGAATCGGGAATTACGACATCATTCCAGCAAGGTATCGACCGGGCATTCCCCCGCGTGTGTGCATCCACCTGAGTGTCTTGGACGCGGGACTCCGACGCCGGTTTTGGCGACTCACGTGAACACACGCGAGCAAAAACACGTACCGATGAAATAGTCCTGCCTGGCTCCACCGCCGACCGTTATCGGTTGCGCAACGCACTACTATAGCCTCCTCTATACTCACAAAGCCTGTCAGGTCGACGACGGAGACATAGAGTGCCGTTCGCAGATTTGGAGCTCGAGGATCTGGTAGCACAGAGCATCAAAGAACCACTTCTCGGGGAACCTTGACGTCAGCGCACAGCTTTCGCAGTGGCGAGCAACCGAAACACACTTGTACGCTCTGGGGAAGTGAGTTTCGGCGTCTGTCGCAGCGGGGCGCCAGTCACGTGGGTCTCCTCTCATCCGCTGTCTGCCGCTCCACCTTTTCGCTTTCGGCGGCCGCTTCTCGCGGCGATCTGCCATGCTTTGTCAGTATAGAGGAGGCTATGGCACTACCCTCGCTTCGCAGTAAAAACAAAACAGGACGTACGGCGGTCACAACTTGAAATTGCTGCTGTGGTTTGAGTCGCCCTCAAAGGTATTTCGCCGACCTCCACTGTTGCGTTATCTTGGTATGGTTATACTCCGTTTACACTTGAGATGAGACCGTAGTTAATGGGGCAAGCATGAGAGCGCGATGTTGCGATCTTGAAGCGATCTTCCGTCGAACCAGCGTTCGCGCAAAAAAAAATCACCTCTAAAATCTAGGGGAGCACGCCAGCTCGAGCTTGTAGCTTTCACGGCACTCTCAGCTTCAGGGTGAAAGGAGTGTAGCCCATACATCATGATACGTTGCAATGTCGACGTGACATCAGCTCATCGTTTCAGTGTTTAGTGTGAGATGACGTGAACATTCGGCGGCCGAAACAATCAAGGTGCCACGCAGTGTATCATTTGCTCAAGTTCCGCCGAACCATCGCCAGGCTACTCTCTTGACTCTGTTTGCTTCTTTGATCGTAAAGATATGAAGGTTGCCCACTGAGCTTACGCTTTTAATTCAAAATGTTCTCATCTGCGTAATGTGGCGTCGACAAAGAACTCTTTTGAGTCAAACGGTTGCATGGTACTGCCGGCAAGTAATAATTGCCTCGTCCCCCCCCCCCCCCTCCTTGCTTTGAAAGGTGTTAAGAAAGTCACCGTCGGCTTATGTTGCACGTATGTCCCCCGCATCTCAGAAAATTCAAAGTCCAGCCAGGCAAAAATATCATTCTGGATCAGCAAAAATCGTCCTCCACCCCCCTTCCCCCCCCCCCCCTCCCCCGTCCCCCGGTCCTGCATGAAGCCCGAGTGCAGATATAATATTTTGTCGGCAGTGGAGGGAACTGAAGGAGGCAGACGTCACCTGTGATGCGAGCCTCTCAATTTGCGAAACCCTAACCTATCGCCAATTGTAGTATTTTTTTACCGAATGAGTTCCATTACCGCAGTGACGTTTTACTCCGGTGTGAGGATATGACGAGAAACAACTGCCACTTACCGGGACACCTGTGCTTTAGATGATGTGTGCCATGCTACTCCTTATACTGGTTGCCACTCGAAATTTGGTACTCCGAGTTTCCGGTAATTTCCGGCGGTTTCTCAGCGTATGTCCCCGCAGCATAGTCAAATGCTGTTGCGCTGGGTGGTTCAATGATGTACATCTTTCATTCGTTTGTTTATTTTGTGTTCGGTGCGGATGTTGGTGTATTCTGTGAAGTCGACTGAGGTCTTATGCATGTTTGAGAGGAAGGGTTTGTGAAGAGACAGAGTAATCGATGGGTGTCTGGAAGTGGAGCAATAGATCCATCCTTGACATAGAATAGAATGGAATAGTTTGTTTCAGTTTTCGTCCAATATACACTTTTCAAGTCCGTCTCACTTAAGCACATGCGTGCCTGTGTGTGGGAACGGGCAGTCCATCTGCTGCCACGGCCTAGCAAGGAAGGGGTCAGTCGACATTCCGTTGCCGACAATGGATGCAAAGAAGTGGTTTATAACAAGGGCCTCCAATGCCGAATTCTGTCGAGCCGATACCGTCCAAGGAGAGACGCGGGTATCATACCCATTTCGCACTAAGGAAACATGCAAGAAAAAAAAATTTAAGCAGCCCAAACGGGGAAAGGAAACCAAAAAATGAATGTACAGCGAAAAAAAAATGTAGAGGCATATTTTTGGCGCGTAACGGATTTGTAGTTGGCACCCGCGGGAGCCGCCACTGGTCACGTGGTAGACCTGTGCGCCGCCGCGCTGCGCTACCGCCGCCGCAAAGTCACGCCGCCGCCGTACGCTGAGCGTGGCGCGCCGTCGTTTGAACGCTTTTCTCCACGCCGCCGCAGCCGCCGCAGCCGCCGCCGCAGCCGTCGCCATCAATTTCTGACAAACGCGCAGGTCTATCACGTGGGGCTGGCGCTCTTTGAGGAGCCTCCTGCAGGCTCTATAAGTTACTTATTGACCTTCGTTCTTTGTTGACACTTCAAACGAAGAATAATAAGTAACTTTAAAAACCCGTATGAAGCTCCCGAAAGAGCGCAAGGACCACGCGACCATGGTGGCCAGTCACGTGACCATAGCGCCCATTCTTCTGCGGGCTCCAGCGGGCGCCAAATAAAAATTCGTTTCGCGCGGTAAATATAGCTGTAATTTTTTTTTGTAAATGCTGCTTTATGGCATTCTTTTTTTATTTAGGCTTTTTAAAAAGAAATGTTTTTCCTTTGCACGTCACCTTAAGGCCCATAAGTGCAACTCTTTAATTTCCCTCTCCTGGTAGGAGAAATTGTAGAACTTGGAAAAGTGCTTCTACAAATAGCTCAAGGTTTTTTTTCTTTTTGTTTTGTCGAAAGCCTCTTTTATTCTATTTCATTGCTTCCGCCATAAAAAAAGAAATGCACAGAGTGGGTTTAGTAAGTCATTGGGTTGGGTTTGTTCATTTAAGAAACTGAGTAAACTTGTATGTGAGAACAAAACAGGTGGAATCGGTAGCCAAGTGGACTAACGCGTCTCAGCTCAGAGCGTGCACCGACAAGCGTTTGTGTAATCAATACGTCGTGGTACACGTTAAAGGGGCGATGCAACAATTTTTGTACTTCGCGCAAATAGCACTTAGAATGGATCCCTGACATTAATGACCTATGAGACACGCGTTCGTCTTTCACCCAACGCAACAAGAGTCCCAGAAAAAAATTAAAGAAAAACGAGCAGCGTTCACCCCCTCAACTCGCAGCAAGAACAAGCGGCCACGTGATCTGGAGCCGATTATATGCCGCCAATGTTGATCCTAGCCACGCGCTGGGGTTGGCAAAGCACAGGGCACGCGCTGAGTTCCAGATATTGTTATGGCTCGGCTATTGTCGTCGTTGCAGCGATTGGACACGGGCCACTACCTGAATGCTTCTCAAGCTAGTAATTATCACGAGCCCAAATCGAGTGCCCACGCAATGCTCGGGTCCAATCTATGAACAGCATTCAAATATCGTCACTTGGGTGTACTGCGATCCCCACGTTACGTCATGAAATTCTGCAAAAGAGAGATTGAATGAAAATGATCGCTTTTGTCCTTGACATTACACCGCAACAAAGGAGTTTCTTGGCCAGCGGAGTTGTGTGCGAGTATCCTTGACTCCCACTAGTGCCAGTAAGCTCGTGTATAGTGAACAATATTCCAACTGATTATCGTTGCACAGCTCCTTTAAAGGCCCCCAGGTTAGTGATTGTACTGCACTGGCTAAATTTCTCATCTACAGGTAAGAGTGATAAAAAAACCTGCAGCGACTTTACTTAACAAGATCAACAATTTATTGAAACGTTTCGACTCCCATGCGGGAAACATCATCAGTAAAACCTACAAGCAGGAATGAGCAAAAACACTTTAACAGTCCTATTTAAGCAAGTCCGCGTACACATCGGGGAGGTAAGAGACAAGTCATCCGTTGAGGCGTGCTGCCATCAAACATGTCTAAATATGATCGCAACAAAATGCTTCTTCTGTGCGAAAACACAGAGGACGAACACGAAGGGGGACGAGGGTAAGCGAGACTTCGTTATGCGCGGCCAAGCGACCGAGAAAAGTTCAGAAGGGCATTTCTTGAGTTTTTATGTGTTCTTATTTTTTTCCTCTTTTTTCAGACTGCAGCACATTCTCCTTCTGAACCCTTCGCAGTCTCTTGGCCTCGAATAAAACTAGTTTAAAGTTGGGCCCGTCCTAATCCACCCTTCGTGTTTGCCTTCTATGTTTGCGCATACAAGCTTACTTAGTAGAGTGTGGGTTGCTGCACAGCTGCACTGGCGTTTAGAGTCACATTTCTATCGTCCTTCCGCACCGTGTTCTGCATACACTCCCTCGCGTATTCTTGGTAGGTAACAAGCCCTAACATTTTTTTCTGTTTTTTTCTAGATCTGACAAAAAACGGATTTTCAGAAAAGCCGGTTTTCTCCATTTTCATCGCAGAGGACAGCACTAGAGGTATTTGACTCTAAGTATATCAAATTTGAACTGTATCGTTAGTGCTCCACAATCTAAGGGCGCTTTCTAAACAACAAAAGTATAATTGCCTTGTCACACGCGTGCCTTAAAGGGAAACTCCGCCGATTTCTTCATGGTCCCCGATTTGCTTGAAATTTTGCTAAACTCGCCAAACAACATCGCCAAAATAGTATCCCAAATATTAGGTCAAAATAATTTTTTTTCACGAAGTTATTGAATTTACAATTTTGGTCCTCACCGTGTTCTTCAAACTGAAAGTCTCTACTGGCAACAATGAAAAAGTGACGTCATTGGAAGTGCAGGGGTTCACTCTTTGGACTGTAGAATTTGTTCCCAACTGATTTGAAGCAGTTTCATGGTGCCAAATGAATGCTTTGGAAGCTCGCTCCAGTCCCCGCGCTCCATCACGGAACAAATGATCGACATATTCTATTTTTTAGACTGCTCGCCCGACTGGCAAGCTGACCTTCCAATGACGTCACGGCCCTGAAAAGGGCGGGTATATTTGAATGTTTGTTTTTGCATGATTTTCATTTGCCGATTTCGCAATAACTATTATGAATTTCACGATACTAAATAGCATACCAGAAAGGGTAAAGGCCGGGGAGTCAGAAAATATAGTTAGTTGAGGTAGCTCAAAAATCGGCGGAGTACCCCTTTAAAGGGAGACTGACACGGTAGTTATGCTCGCCACAGTTTTTATTTGTGCATCACATCTGAGAGCCCCACTACTCAAAGCACAATTTACGGCTCGAAATTCGTTTTTTTTTTCGGCCCGCAAACCGCTAATCGAGAACTGTACGGTCGGAGTCGCGATCACTATCATCTCCATGGTCACTTTTCGTTTTCTATGGTTTAGACACCACCGCTAAAAATAATTAAAGCCGAGGGTCATCGAAGGCACACACTCAATACTAGAAATGAACAAAAAATGTGATACACATTTTTGTGGCTTCTAAGAAACAGCAAATACGTTGATGCAAAAAAAAAAAAAAAAAAGTTCCACAGCCATGGACTTTGTCTTTCTCCTTGTCATCGTGTAAGGAGGGGGGGGGGGGGCCGAGGGCCCGTCAAGCTGCATGATGCAGCTTTTTTCCTCGGTCTCCCTCCGTCATTCGTGTTTTGACGGAAAATAAACATTATTATTATTATTATTATTATTATTATTATACGACCGCGAGACATTCTTTTTCCGTCGTGGAGTAATATTTCTCCGCCTTCGACAGCGTCCGACTTGCGTAGGCAATGACTTGCTCCGTGCCTTCCTGTAGCTGTCGCAATACCGCGCCAAGTCCGGAGTTACTGGCCTCCGTGTGAATTTCGGTTTCGGCGTGCTGGTCGAAATGTCCAAGGATTGGAGGTGCCTGAAGTCGTCGTTTCAGTTCATCGAACGCCCGCTTTTGTTCTTCTGCCCATTGAAACTTCACGGCGTCTTTCGTAAGATATGTGAAAGGGCGCTGAAATGTTTGCAAAATCTTGAACGAAGCGCCTGTAGTACGCACGCAGCCTCAGGAATCTGCGGACGGCCTTCTTGTCCGACGGTCTGCGAAAATCTCGTCGAGGTCGTGCGAAAATATGACGACGTCGTCGAGATAAACCGGGCAGCTCTGGCACTTCAGTCCCGTTAGCACGGCATCCATGACCAGCTGGAAAGCCGCCGGCGCCGCACAGACTCCGAAGGACATCGCCTTCGACTCGTAGAGTCCATCGGGCATGACAAAGGCAGTCGCTTCGCGGTCCCGTTCATCGACCTGAACCTGCCGGTAGGCACTCTTCAAGTCCATCGACGAAAAGTATCGGGTGTGGCGTAATCGGTCGAGGGTGTCATCTATGCGGGGAAGCGGATAGACATCTTTCTTTGTAACAGCCATTCAGCCCCCTGTAGTCCACGCAGAACCTAAGAGTTCTGTCCTTCTTCACCAGCACGTCTGGAGAGGAACACGGACTGCTTGAAGGCTGGATAATATCGTCGTCAAGCATTTCTTGGACTCGTTTCCGGGTGGTTTCCCTCTCCTTCACCGAAACTCTGAACGGCGACTGATGAATAGGGGGCACGTTATCGTCAGTAACAATAGACCGAAAGCTAGTTCGAGTACGCCACCGCTGCCGTCATGCATCGTGGGAGCTGTCGTCTTTCTGCACGCGCTACAACCCTGCTGGAGGTCTGCGCGAGCAGAGCACGAGGCGGCATGAGTTATCTCGTGAACTGTCGTCTGCCTCCTACCAACTACAGTTATGACGGCGTCACGCATGCGTGGAACACTTGGTGAGATCGGTCTATTCGATGCATCGCAACCGCTGTTTGGGGTAGCCTTGACGATGTGGCGAAACAGTCACTGAACTCAGTGAGAACGTCAATCAGCTGTCGTCGTTGTGTGGCTGGGAGGGACGGGTCGATGCCGAGCTCTGACGGCGTGGTTCTCCTGTGCTGCGTCGGAGAGGCGTCTTCTGAGATCACGGCGATCGCGGTTGGGTCCTGAATTTTCTCGACGTAGCTCACAGCTGTACCCTTTGTAAGGTGGTGGGACTCTTGCCGGAAGTTGGTAATAAGGGCTGGGGAACGCCCGTCCTGGAGCTCAGTTACGCCTCTTGGAATCCCAATCCCTCGTCCAAGATGTCGGACGCTTCCTTGCAACAGTGCTACACCGCGGGGGGCTTCTTTGGTCCCGGATTGCACGAAGACGCCCGACAGCGGCAGCAGGTTTACGTTGCTCATAAGGACTCGCACTGCAGCTAACGTCGTTTTCGGTTTTTTCGGCGATGGCAGAGGTTTTCGAAGCGTTAGCTTGTTCTCCGCAAGGTCGATGATGGCGCCGTATTCACACAAGAAGTTCATTTCGAGAATGACGTCCCTCGAACAGTCTTGCAGAACGACGAACTTCACAGGGCAGGTTTCACCGTGGATCTCAATGCGAGCAGTTCACCTGCCGACAGGTGTAATGAGATGCCCGCGGGCGGTTCGTATCTGCGGTCCGTCCCACGACGCCGTAACTTTCTGAAGGCGGCGAGAGAGTCTCCCACTCAACACCGAGTAGTCTGCTCCGGTGTCGACGAGCGCTGTCGCGTCGTGGTCGTCGATGATAACGTTGATGTTTTTCGACATTGTTGCAGAAACATCGTTTCGGGGCGTTGCGGCGTTAGAGTGGGAGGGCTCCGAAGACATTGGGGGATCTTGGCTTCGTTCGTTCTCGGCAAAACCACCTCCCGGCATTGCAGCGCCTAGTTTTCCCGGCGGGATGCAATGGGTGACAGGCTGTCTCGGCGAGACCGGCGGAAGGGCGGTGGCGAGCGTCGGGGAGACGGTGAACGGAATACATAGCAGGGAGACGACTCAGGGGATGAAGAGCGGTGGAGGTAGTCCTCGATGTCCCGAGGTCGCTCTCCGAGACGTGGTCGAGGGTCGCTGGGTGCAAACCCTCGTAGGCCCAGCTGGCGGTAGGGGCATCGTCGGTAGATGTGGTCCGCTTCACCGCAGTGGTAGCACAGCGGGCGTCGGTCGGCCGCCCTCCAGACGTCGGTCTTCCTCGGAGCAGGTTGCTCTGTTCGAACGTGCGCCTGATCTTCCTGGCGTCGGAGGTACTGCTGCGTTGTGGCGTCTCTTCGAGGTGGCGCCGAGGCTTGGCGGGGAGCTTGCGGCGGTCGTCGGGCCATGGCGGCGTAGCTCAACGTTGGTTCCTCCAGTGCCACCGTGGTGACGGGAACCTCTGGTTGGAGCGCCCGATGCTCTTCTCCTCGGACAGCCTTGGCGAGGGAAAGGGATGGCGGACGACTGGCGGTTGGCCGCAACCTTCGCAGTTCCTCCCGGACGGCCTCCCGGATAATTTTCCGGTATTCCCGCGTACCGGGGCTGTTTTAGACGTTAAGCAACGTGGGCGCAGTGACGCCTGGATGTCGCTAATAGTGGGAGGCGCGCGCTTTGAGGGCGTGTCGACGTTGGTTGCCTCCATGCCGAAGGCTTGGACGGTGGTCGGCGGGTTGCGGACGAGTCCCCCGAAGATGTCATCCTTAACACCTCACTTCAGGAACCGCAGCTTATTTTCGTCGGTGGCTTGAGGGTCGGCGCGAGCGACCAGCCGCAGAACATCCTTGACGAAACTGGTGATAGTCTCTTTTGCTCCCTGGGTCCTCGTTCGAAGAAGGTCCTCAGCCCTTTCCCGTCGATATAGGTTGGTAAACATCCGTGCCAGCGCATCCTTGGAGGCGGTCCATGAGATCAACGAAGTGTCGAGATTCTCGAAGCAGTGCCTGGTCGTTCATTGGGGCGCGAAGTAAAGATTCTGTAGGCACTGTTCGTCCGTCCATCGGTTGTGCTGGGCCACTCGCTCGTACTGTTGTAGCCAGTCCTCGATGCCTTCATAAGGCTCACCGTGGAAGGACCCGGGCGTACGGGCAGCGACGGGTAGGACAACGACGGCTGGAGTGGTCATTGCTGCGGTCTTCTTTTGTTTCTTCGGCAGGGGTTCGAGTTCCGGAGGTATGCCTTAGTTGCAGCGACTTCATCGGGCGTCGATGTCTTCTACGAAGGGTAGCCTTCCGGGGCTGAGCACTTCAATTGGCCGAGATGTTTTTGTAGGTTTACGCTTTACGGGCATAGAAAGCCTTAACCCGCACCTCCATTAAAATGTCATGAATGACAATTGATGAGGCGATGATAACTGAAAAAACTTAACCTTTAATGGGGCGAACTTCTGCCCAAAACAAAAAGGGAAGATGAGAAAACAGCTGAGCGTCGCGGGCGTCGATGTCAGCGAAACCGCAGGATCGAGCGCTGGGGCAAGACTGGCTCGACAAGGTCGCGGGCGGCCTCTTATCTGCCGTGCGCCACTATCTGGAAGATTCGGTGAAGAAGGCTCGAGCGTCGCGCGCTCGGGGCGAGAATTAACATGCACTTTCTAGAACAACAAAAGCAAGAATAAATGAGAGAAGTTAAGTCCAGAGCAAGAATAAACGTGAACCTTCTAGAAGTCTGTGATCATGTT